ACAGTAGACAGCACCAGGACCGAAAAGAAGGACCTCCAAGAAATAAACGGGAATCGCCGGGGAAATCAGAATGGCGACCCAGAAACAACAGGGAAACAAGCTGGAGAAACGAGCGACGGCGGAGAAGGGCGAATGCCGGCATATGCGTTAAGGCCCCCACACTACGCACTCACCGACATCAGGGAAAATGCCTACACCAGTCTGGTCACCCAGGGATGGGTCGGTGAGAAACCGTGCCAGGTGACAGTAACCACTGGAGCATACGTCACGGTAGTAAGACCAGATATCGCCGCCGGATGGCCTGAAAGACAGCCAAATCCAGATTTCACGCTGCAGACCGTGTCTGGAGGATACCTACCCATCCTGAAAGAAGTTCTGTTGACCCTTACTGTGGGGCGCAAACCGATAACCATGTGGGTTTTCGTCGGGAACAGCACAGATGAGCTCATCCTGTGACTGGACATACTGCGCGCCTATGATGCGTCAGTGGATATACGACGCCAAACTCTACGTCTGGCGGAAGAAGAAGTATCGTTATGGAGTCCTGGGGCAGGACCCCGTCCTTCTAGCTTAATAGTGGCAAAGGACCATGAGATACCTGCACGGAGCGAGGGAATAGTGATGGGTAAAATGAAGAACCATCTGGGAGTAGAGAATGGTCTAGTAGAACCAAGCTCCCAGGCCCACCCGCCTGAAGGAATCTACGTAGCCAGGACCCTACTTCAGGACTGTCAAGAAGTACCAGTGAGGGTCATGAATGTTACCCACAAGGACCAAAAGCTCAGGAGAGGATCTCCTCTGGTGCACTGTGAGCCAGTAACACTCATAGCTTTGCCCGAGGTGGGGCAGCCCCTAGCTCCAGGTCTAAAACCGAGATTAGCGGACGTGACCACAGCGGCCAAGCCACACCTAAGTCACGCAGAATTTCAAGAGTTAGAGGATCTCGTGTCCGAGTACGCCGATATCTTCGCACAAGACAACGAAGATTATGGAAGGACAAACAGAGTATGTCACCGCATAGACACGGGAGAAGCCCGACCAATTCGACAGCCACCGAGGAGAGTACCCCTGGCAAAACAAGCGGAAGTAAAGGAAATGCTCAACAACATTCGAGGACAGGGTGTTATAGAAGAATCGGACAGCCCTTGGTCGTCCCCGGTCGTTTTGGTCAGAAAAAATAATGGTGAGCTCCATTTCTGTGTGGACTACAGAAAGCTGAATGACGTCACCAAGAAGGATTGCTTTCCACTATCCCGCATTGATGACACCGTGGACACGCTGGCCGGAGCCAAATGGTTTTCAACTCTCAATTTAAAGAGTGGCTATTGGAAAGTCGATGTACACCCAGACGACAAAGAGAAAACAGCGTTTTAGACAGGTCAAGGGCTATGGCAGTGGATATCCACTGAACCGGAGAAGTTGAAAGCCGTGCAAGAATGGCCGACCCCAAAGAATAAACATGAAGTTAGAAGCTTTCTGGGACTGCTCGTATGCGCGTATTACAGGCGATTTATATCAGGGTTTTCCAACATTGCGAAACCACTAACGAAACTAACGGAAGAGGAACAAACCTTCCAGTGGATTCAAGAAGTGGAGGCCGCTTTTCAAACACTAAAGGGTGCTCTATATGCTGCCCCTATTCTTGCCTACCCACAGCCAGGAGAGAAATTCATTGTGGACACAGATGCAAGTAATGTCGGTATTGGAGGAGTACTCTTTCAAATGCAAGACGGACAAGAGCGTGTTATAGCTTATTTCAGCAAGAAGCTAAACAAAGAGAGAAATTACTGCGTAACCCGACGAGAACTACTTGCCATAGTGAGGTCACTGGAACATTTCCACAAGTACCTCTACGGACAACAGTTACATCTGCGAACGGACCACTGTGCGCTTACCTGGCTTATGAGTTTCAAGAACTTGGAGGGACAAACTACGCTGGATACAGCGTCTACAGGAGTACAACTTTACTTCAGAGCACCGTTAGGGCCGGAAACATAACAACGCCGACGCCCTTTCTAGACGACCCTGCAAAGAGCAATGTCTGCACTGCCACAAAGTTGAAACGCAGGCAGAGGTAAAGCAAATACGCGTTATTGGAACCCTACCGTCAGCCGTCCTGGACCCTGTTACCCTGAGAGGGGAACAGCTAAAAGACCCAGACATAGGGCCTATTCTACAGGAAGTAGAAAACAGCCAACGACCGAAATGGCAGGACATCGCGGATTGGAGTCCCACGTACAAAAGCTACTGGGCCCAGTGGAAATCGCTCGCTGTGAGAACGGCGTACTAGAGCGCGACTGGGAATCCTCCACCGGAAGACGTCAAGTAGCCCAGATAATTAATTATTCCTCGGAGCAGGGTGAAGGACATTCTGAGCGAACTGCACGGTGGACCGTCAGGAGGTCACTTCGGTGTCAACAAAAGTCTGAATAAGGTTCGGCAGAGGTTCTACTGGCTCCAAGCAAGAACCGATATTGAGAAATGGTGTCGACAGTGTGACACATGTGCAGCCAGCTGGGGACCGCGGACAAGGAGTCGTGGGCAAATGCACCAGTATAATGTCGGGGCTCCCTTCGAGAGAGTGGCCATTGATATCGCAGGGCCTTTCCCACGAAGCGACCAAGGGAACCGATATTTACTGATCGCTATGGACTACTTCACCAAGTGGCTGGAAGTGTACGCCATCCCGAATCAGGAGGCTTCGACAATAGCGGAAGTTCTGGTTGCCAACTTCTTCTACCACTTCGGCATACCTCGGGAGTTGCACAGTGACCAAGGCCGTAACTTCGAGTCTCGTCTACTGCGAGAAGTTTTGCAACGCCTGGGAGTGAGCAAGACGCGCACCACACCCCTGCACCCACAGTCGGATGGAATGGTGGAACGCTACGTCAAGACCATCGAGGAGCACTTGCGGAAGGTCGTCGCATCGCACCAAAGGGACTGGGATGAGAGGTTACCCCTCTTTCTCCTAGCTTACAGGGCATCCACTCACGACACTATGGGCCTGACCCCTGCTGGCCTAGTGTTCGGACGAGAACTACGACTACCTTGCGACCTGCTCTTTGGAGTACCCCGAGACAAAGAACGACCCACAACCGATTATGCAGCAGACTTAGTGGATCATCTGCATGACATCCACAATTATGCCTGGCAACACGTGAAGCTCGCCAGTGACCGGATGAAAACTCGGTACGATAAACTGGCCAACCCCGCAAGTTACGATGAAGGCGACAGAGTTTGGCTCTATCGCCCAACCTGTAGGAAAGGGAAATCGCCTAAACTACAAGCATCATGGGAAGGTCCTTACAAAGTAGTGACCCGGATAAATGATGTGGTATACCGAATCCAGAAGACCCCTAGGTCGAGGATGTTGGTTGTACACCTCGACCGGCTCGCGCCTTATCATGGAGCTGCTCAAGACGAGCAACCATAAAAAGGGGGAAGATGTAGCGGTTGGAGAGCAGAGCAATGGGGAGAAGGGAAACAGTAGCAGGACAAAAAGAACATGCTGCAAGAACAGCATCCAAAGAAAAGGATCGGGGTGCACCATTAGGCTATTCGGGACGAACAGCCTTAAGGATGGAGCAGTGTGACATGTTTCGCAACGGAGAACCCCTCCCTATCCAGCAGCAACGTGGCAGTGCAGGCCACAGTGATGTGGCGGATGAGTCAGCGCTCCGTCACCCCCCTCTGCACGGTGACGTAACGCGCAACGCATGGTGACGTAAGACAGTGTGAGGTAACAGCATTGCTAGGCTATACGCAGACACTGTTACGTGGCATGCAACGACGCTGTTGACGTGGGCAACGGGTAACAGCGAATAGAATATTAGCCGGCTGAGCAGCAAGCAACATCCAGTGTGTTATCAACAGTTCTCAAGGCAGCAGCCTGCGAGTAGAGTTGGAATCTAATCAGCAGTGAGTTATGAGTGAAAGTATGATAATCAGTGACTTTGTGATAACTGAGAATTAATTGGGAGTGTGTGACACAGTGACACTTGTATAGCTCCCGTACTGTGAAACGTGTAGTCTACTGACAAAAGCGTGATTTGATTTGCGATTAGGGTTATAAAGTGTGAAACCCCGCAATATTGTTATAATTAATTGTAGCCGTGATTTGTAGGTTGTTAAATAAACCAATTAACAATCCGAACGGCGTCTTCAATAACCCAACACGTTACAATATTCCACCAGTCTCTATACCCTACCGATATTAGTGCGTACCATCAGTCCTGCTGAGCCATCGAGTTCGGCCTCCACTAGCTTTTCGGTGTCTATAATGCTTCCCCCATCTATCAGAGGCCTTAGAGACTACTGTTGGGCGGGAAACGCCCGTGAATTTGTTTCAGTGATCTCCTTTGGAGATATGAGGTTCTTTTACATGCTGTAAAGCTACAACATTGGACACACGGCTTAAAGTCCCCAAAGTCCCCCCGGAGGACTTGTTCCCTGAATTTTTCCGCCCTTAAAAATTCGATGACCTCCGCCGGGTATTTGAACCCGTGTACCATGAGTCATGAGGTGGGAACGTTACCTCTAGACTACTGAGGCCGCTTATAATTCATTGTGACTATAACACAAAATGTTGAACAAGTTGTTTCACAGTCGCTCCTTTCGTGTTAACAACTCTTACTAGAATGTTTACTGGCCTGTTACCCTAGCATTGCCTGCAGCTCCTATGCGGTTACAAAACCGCGAGGAATGGTTGCCTAACACAGCTCCTCTGCTGTTACGTCACCACGGGCAACATTACTGACAACGCGTGCAGTATCGCGTCGTTCTGAGTCCACAGTTCCCAACAGTGTTTAATTAGTTAGGCACAGGGACAACTTTACTTTTTTTACATTTTTGTATGTTTAAATTTCTCAATGTTTAATATTTAATGTGTTATTAATTTTTATCATATCCGTTTTTTTTACCAAATGTCCCATTTTTTGAAAATAAATATGGAGATCCTAGCATTATGTAAGTAAAACTGAATTGTTTGATATGTGTTTCAGTATTCGAACCCACTCTGTGAAGTTCCTGGAATGCGTAGTCCTGTTGCAGACTTACCCTGAAGTAGATAGTATGAGAAGGGACAATGACTTTTCTCTGGAAGATGTTCCTCTGACGTTGAAGATTGCACGGAGACGAAAACTTGAAGAAGAGGCTAAGTAAGTGGACTGAAATATATTAATTCTCTCATACATTCAAGGTATGGAAAAGATTTGATTGAGTCATTTAAGCAAAATTACATTTTCCTTTTAATAAGTGTGGATTTCTTCTGAAATGTAAAAGAGAAAAATGGTTGAATAATGTGTGGTGTAAAGGACATAAAATGAATGGCATTATGAATATGAATGCATAATATTTGTTGGTGGTAGTAGTATGGTATGTTATTTTGGGTTGTTGTATTTGTTGATGTCATCTGCATGGAGTTTTGACTGTGAATAATACATGAACAATTTTATTAATAATTTTATGAAAACTTATACTTGAACTTTTATTAAATTATGACAATTGAAAAAAAACTAAGTGTGCTAATTTACATCGATAGTATAACAAGGAAAACTAGATGGAAGCACAGTCTACTTGCTGTTTGCAATCCTGAAAATGAGACCATAATTTCCTCCAGAATATCAATGAACTTCTGCCACATTTCACAGCGTTGTCATTCATTCATCAGTAATCTGTCAAGACGACAGGTCCACAGTCTCTTCTAAAACAGTTCCTCCACTTGATGCGATCTAGAGCTTTCTCCTTCAAATGAAAATATCCTCTTCTGTCCCCAAGGTCATCCAGCATTTTCTTCCGTCTTCTTCCTCATCTTCTGGTCACTTCTATCCACCCCTCTATCTTTCCTTCAATAACTTCTTTTAGAAGGCAGTTACCGCGTAAGATACGACCAATCCAATTAGCCTTCCATTTTCTTATTTTGTGTAGGGATATTCCTCTGCTCACTGACTCTAAATAACACTTTTTCATTCCTCACATAATCGGTCCAGCTGATCTTCTCCATCCTTCTCCAACACCACATTTCGAAGCTTTCCAGGTGTTTCTGATCTACTGCCCTAAGTGTCCAAGTTTCAGCCCAATACAAAGCAATGCTCCAAATGTAGCATTTCACGAGTTTCTTTCTCAAATTTAAGTCCAATTTGCTGGTAAAAAGATTCTTCTTCTTGCTAAATGCAGCTTTTGCTATGGCAATCCTAGATTTAATTTCACACATACTCCTTCCATCATCTGTTAACAAGTTACCCAAATATTTAAAGCATTTCACATTTTCTAGTTGTTTTTGGTCTATCTTTATTGTGACTGGGGTTGGTTGTCTCGAAATTTTCATTACTTTTGTTTTTTCCACATTCATTTCCATGCCATAGCACCTTTCAATTTCGATTAGTCTGTCCATCATACCCTGTAGCACAGTTTCTTCCTTAGCCATTAACACAAGGTCCTTGGCATATTTCACAGTTTCACGGTGTTGTATCCAAGAAGAAAGTACTCTTCAACTAATTAAAACATATTTCTTTTTAATGACAGATTTGAGGTTCTCTCAGCAGCAGTTATGAAGATTTCTATCTTCTTGGATGTAATATTGTGTAGTCTATTGACAGTTATCTGATGTTTTGGAGGAACATGTTACCTCTATCTTAAGGTTTGAACAGAAAACAAGAAAGCTCAGGTTAATATATGACAAGGAGGGAACTGCAAAACAGCTCACCAGTTTCTATTGGCTCTCACAAAACAGAGTGAACCAGTAAGAGTGCAAGTCAACTTTCCAGTTTCCACTAGCTCTCATCAGCCTAAAGCCTTTACTTTGTGACCCACCACTACTCTTTTCATCCCCCACTACATGCCACATGACATATTGCTGATGCACCTCAGTTCTCTGTTCACCACACCCTCACTACTTATCTTCCCTCTGTTCCCAGATCTGCACTAACAGTCATTTTCAGTTCTGATGCTAGTTCTTGTCTTGTCTTATATTGCTTCATTCCACTCTGAGAGAGAGCCAATGGAAACTGGCAAGTTGACTTGCACCCCTATTGGTTCACTCTGTTGTGTGAGCAAGCCAGTGGGAACTGATAAGTTGTTTTGTAGTTCCCTCCTGTTTCCTATGTAAACTGGAACTTTTGACAAGCAGATATTGTACTTGCTACCTGCTTCATCCTGGTTTCTTGCTTGGCTTTCTTCTTCAACCCTGAAAGTGGAAGTAACATGTTCCACTGAAACATCAGTTGACTTTCAACAGACTGTAAGGAGTCGTATCCTAGAAGTTTTAACCCTTCATATTTTTTTTTAGGTTTGTTATTTAATAATGTTGAAATGTATTGTTCTGTAGATATAATTAGTCAGTGGTATGTTGAAAACGATGCCATAATGAAATACTGAAGTCTGTAACAGTTAACAACAGGGCCACTGTTTTGTGTTGGGTTCAGAATGACAAAAGAACTCATTTTATATATTCTGAGACTTACTATACTCTGCTGGAATGTCTCGAATAGCCGGAATTAACCTTTTATGGCCGGACTTTTAAATTGCCGGTAGCCCCTGTACGGCCAGAATTTAAATCGCCCCAATTGATGATCTTTGCAAACCTTGAGAAAAAAATACATATTTTCCGTTCTATGCAACATAGAAATATGAACTAAAAAGAATCTGAAAGACAAGAGAATTTTCTACATATATGTAAAAGATCAAGTTTTAAAAATGAAAATTAAATCCCCCTGTCTGTGGTTTTCCATAGCCCCTACGCGAAGCTATCGGCAAAAATTAAAAATTCCATAAAAATTGATAGCAGCATGCCAGAATTATGCAGTTTTGGTCTCCCCTGTTCTGGTTACATTCCACACCATGCCAGTGCCGCGGGGTCTAGGCCACTGAGTGTTATGAGAGGAGAGGCTGATTTCATCATGCCTACACGATTTATATGCGTTTGCTTCTTAGCTCTCATTCTACTAAACAGCGCCATGTTTGTTTTGTCATTGCAACATAGGCATGCTAGCCTGGGTTCAAATTGTACCTAATAGCGTTGACGAAACAAGGCTCTAAGTGCTATAAGAAATTATTCAAGGGCATATCAACCCATACAGCACTTGTCATATATCGGTTATCTCGAATAACAAGAAATAGACGGACTATAATCCACTTTCACACGGAAGGAAACAAAAGTGTAATCTTCCGTTATACGAAACGTTTGGTTCAGTCACCACTCCCTCGGCTACACAGTACGCCTTTGCCTGCGCAGAATGATTTACAGAGGACGCAGACATTCGAAGAATACGTATGCTGTCCTGAAAACATTTACTACGAAACTACGTTCTATGCAACATAGAAATATGAACTAAAAAGAACCTGAAAGACAGTAAAATTTTTCCACACATACGTAAAAGAACAAGTTTTACAAATGAAAATTAACTGTGATTATTTTGTCATGAAATGCAAAATATAATCTTTATTATATATGTTATGAAATTCCAAA